AGGGCTGCCTGTGTCCCTGCAGGGATCAGGGCTGGATTTTCCCCTAAAATGCAGGAATCAGGGCTGCCTGTGTCCCTGCAGGATGCAGGAGCTGCTGGAGCAGATGAGGTCGGTGGCCTGCGATCTGCAGTTCAACAACAGCATCATCGAGCGGTGAGTGAGAGCATCCCGAGCTCTGCTCCAGCAGGGACCACTGCTCCTGCCCCCGGGGACGTGCTGCAGCCTGGGAGCCTCCAGGGCTTTTTCCCTGCCCCATCGTGGCCTGGCAGCAGCAAGAGTTTCTCTTTCTTGGAGCTGTAGCCAAGAATTTCTCCATCATTTCTTCCCCCTCTTTCCAGCCTTGTCCCTGTGCTGGCCAGCACTGATGGCTGTTCACTGCCATGGGAACTTGATACAGATTTTTCTTTATGAAAATCTCTGCAAAACCCAGTCTATGATTTTTTTTTCCCCACTCTAATATCCAATTTAAATCTCCCCAGGTGCAACTTGAGGCCTCTAATCCCAGAATCCCAGAATAATGAGGTTGGAAGAGACCTCTAAGATCATCAAGTCCAACCTATGTCCTAACACCTCAACAAGACTACAGCACCAAGTGCCAAGTCCAGTCTTTTTTTTAAACACATCCAGAGATGGAGATTCCACCACCTCCCTGGGAAGACAATTCCAGTACTTTATTATTCTTTCGGTGAAAAATTTTTTCCCAAAAAAAAATTTTAAAGCCAAAATTTTTTTTTAAAACAAAATTTTTTCCTAAATTTTTTCTTTTTCCTAAAAATATCCTGTCACTTGTTACCTGGGAGAAGAGACCAACCCCCACCTCACCAGAGCCTCCTTCCAGGGAGCTGTAGGGAGCAATAAGGTCCCACTGATCCTCCTTTTCTCCAGGGTAAACACCTCCAGCTCCTTCAGTTGCTTCTCACAGGACAAATTTTCCAGCCTCCAAATTAAAGCAGACAGGAGAGGTGTTGGTGTGGTTGTCCATTTATTCAGACTGAGAAAATCTGGGAATCACCCCCGTGCTTTTCCTCCTCTGCGTCCTTTCCTCGAGGCTCTGAATGCAAATGGACAATGGGAATATGTCCAGCAGCACGGCCAGGAGTTTTAAATGACAAAACCCAAGGAATCGGGAATTCCGCCCTGTTTTTAGGATCACATCTGGCCTAAATCCTCTTGTCCCTGCAGGTTGGGTGGGGCTGCTCCCACTCCCAACGTTTGAGGGACGTGGTGAAGGTGCAGCTGCTGAAGCAAAAGCGTTTCCTACGACGGAGCTGTCGGATTTCCGTGCCCTGGGAGCTCTCCGTGTCCTACCTCTGTGCTCCAGCACTTTGCACCTTCTCCCCCATCACCCCGAAGTGCCCTGAGCCTCTGGAAGTTTGGCCAAAAAATCCAGTGGGGTTCTATGTTTTCTTTAAAAAAAAAAAAAAAATACTTGAAGGACTTGGTGTTTTCATGGTTTCTCTGCATCACTGTGTGATAAGGAAGAAGAGCTTTAACCTTTCATCCTCTTATTTATTTAGGAATTATTCCCACTTTTAATGTGCTGGAGTGGGGCAGGGGAGTGCTGGTGGCTGTGAGTGCTTGGAGCTGCCCTGGGAAGACATTCCCAAGCCTTCCCTGCTCCAGAGGAAGAGGATGGAGGGGGAACACTTCCCTCCCACCTTGTTGTCCCTCGGGAGTGGCCCTGCTGAGCCAGCCCTTTGTTAGGGACAATCATGGGACAATCATTCTGGTTTCCCCACTGCTTTTTGATCTGGAGGTTGATGAGGAGCCCTAATTCCCTGCTTGTCAGCCAGGGCAGCTGCTATCAGTGATATCAGTGGTATCAGTGCAGAGCAGCCACAGGGATTGCTGGGATCTGGGAGTGGGAGATGGGAGCAGGAGATATTTGTGGGAAGGCTCAGCCACGCTGCCCCTCAGCCTGTCCCCAGCGTGATTTATGGGTTGTACCCCCACCCCACACCCCCATCCCAGGGAGCAGCATCCAAAGCCGGGCAGGGTGACAGATCCCACCCTGCTGAGCCCATCCCACCCATCCTGGCACATCCCAGAGCCGGGACACATCCATCCATCCCTGCAGAGGCAGCAAAGGGAGGAGGAGCAGCAGCTGCAGGGCTCTGCCCAGCCTGACTTTCCTGTAGGAACACGCCAAGGGTGCCCAGGAGCCTCCCCCGCCCAGGAAACCTTTCCCCGGTGGAATTTGGCACCAGAGCTCCCCATTCGTTTGAACTCTAAAAACCAACATCCTGAATGTCAAACCCAACTGTTTGCTGTGCAGAGGTGGAGCTAATCCATCGCTTAAAAGCCTTTCTCCTACGAATTATTTTCTGGGATTCTCCTGGGTTTTTTTAATGGGAGTTATTTTGAATGCAGGCAGGATTCACTGATGTTCTGCAGCAGCAGGGCACGGAGCCCAGGCAGGGTCCCTGCTGCACCTCCTGCATTCAGTGGAGCTGCACTGACTCGCACCAGCTGAGCGTTTGACCTGGAACATGTTTGGCTTCAACTAAAAGGGATTTATTTCTTGGCAAACGGAAAAAAGAGTTTTTGCTAATAGCCCTTGTCGTGCTTTAACTGCTGTAGCACAGCAGCTGCAGAGGGGACTTCTGGAATCCAAATGAAACAAGAGTTTTCCTGCCAATGTTAATTACTTAGGGTTTATATATTTTAACCTGTGGCCTAAAAGAGCTCCCTGTGCTGTCAGCTCGGAATACCTGAAGGGACAGCTGGGAAGGACAATGACTGTCAGGAGCCTCTTGCGCAGGCTGAGCCAGGGCTTGCTGTGGGGACAGAAAATATTACATTTATTTAGTGTTTTTATGCCCTGAGGCTGCAGAACGGAGACTGGAGATGCCTCTGGGATGATATTGGGAAAATGAATGTCCAGAATGGTTTTAAGAAGTTCCCAGCCAGGTGCCAGGTCACCCTCAGAAATTCCCTTCATTGTAGGTGATTCCTGATACAATTAACAGTTTGTGGAGGACATAGGACAAACCACCAAACTTTTGTGGAACGATTTACCGAGGAATAAATCTGCTGCTGTTTCCAAGCAGAAGCAGAGGAGGTATGAAAGCAAATCAGGATCCTGAATTGGGAAGGAAAAGACCTTCCAAAAATTAATCTTGCTGCTTAGCACAGAACAAAACCCCAATTTTCCCAGCTGCATTATTCCTCCTTCGGTTTGAAGCTGTTATTAGGGGCTGCTTATGGCTCTAGGCTGCTGTGATTCAGAGCCAGTGTTTTAATCCATCCTTCGAATTAGAATCCTTGAAAAGGATTTAGATAGCCGCAGCTTATCCTGTCCTCAGGAGTACACGGGAGACGTCAAATTCCGCTTCCCACAAGCCCGGATTCAGCAACCCAGCTCTGCCCTCCCTGCAGGCGCCTCTCGCCTCCCCTCTCCTCCAAAAACCGCAGAAACGGGGGATAATTCTGTGTGAGTGAACGTGTTCCGGCCAGAAGGAGCGAGAGCAGCAGAGCAGCGGTGTCCTGCGTGACTCAGGGCTGTGTCACCCTCCAGCCCCGCACCCCAAAGGAGCAATCGCCCTCGGGCCAGCAGGGAGGGGGTGGCAGGGGTGACAGGGGTGACAGGGTGTCCCCTGCGCGGTGACACCGCGATCGCTGCCCGTGGCAGGGGACACACGGCGGGCCCGGGGCACGGAGCGGCAGCATCGCCCCGGGCACCGCTGCCCCCGAGCTGCTGCTGCGCTTTGGCCGCGATGTTTTCCCTTTCCTTTCCCACGAGCTCGAGGGAATTCCTGCGTGTCCCCGCAGAGCCCTGCTGTCCCTGCAGAGGGGACACGGGCTTTTCCCCAGCTGCCCCACGCGTGACCGTCCTGCTCACACGGGGACAGAGCCGCGACACAGCGGCTGCGCTCCCGCAGAAGACGCTGGGGAGAACCGCTGGTTGTGCTTCGTGGGAACCCCACGAGGGTTGCACGGACCCCCCCGGGGAACCCCAGACCCGCGGGGGTGCCGGTCCGGCGGGGACAGCCCGCGGGCGAGCGGGGATTCCCGGCGAGGGAGCAGCGGGGACATTCCCGTGGCGCGGGCGGGGAATGCCGCGGAAATTGGGGGACGCTC